GAAGAAGAAGAAGAAGAAGAAGAAGAAGAAGAAGAAGAAGAAGAAGAAGAAGAAGAAGAAGAAGAAGAAGTCATCTCTAGTATCATAGTAATTTTTAGGAAAGCTTTTTAGAATATCTTCAATTTTCTTTAAAAATTTTCAAAGTTGGTAAGCTGAGCTCAGTAGTGTTGCTTGGAACTGTGCTTGCTTGTCAGAAAAAAAAAAAAAACAGGTAAATTGGGTGGCTCAGAACATCCTTGGGGGCTGGAAGGAAGGCTGGCTCGCCCACAAAGGCACACTTTTTCGGACAGCACTCATATGCTCCCCAAGTTGCAAATGTGCCCACCAAGCCCAAAAAACCTGTCTGTCCTTATATTGGCTAATATCCACTTGGACCCAAATAAAAATAGGTTGTGAAGTTTGCTTGCATGAGGTTGTCATGTTTTTGCCTTGGAGAAGAATCTTAAATAGGGTTGCAGGGGAATTTGTAGTCTTGGCAATACACCAGATTAGCCCATTTGTTTATACATATCAATATCCCCAAAAGGAGACTTTTTAAAAAGCGAAAGTCACCTGAAATTGCCTGCAAATAAACTCTTCAGTTTCTAATGTATTTTCTTCCTTCTAAGGAGACCCTGATGACAACTTGATAGAAGGTGGTGGGACAAAGTTTGTCTGCAAACCAGGAGCCCGGAATATCACGATCATCTTCCATCCACTTCTGAGGTACCCGCTCTGCTTCCTTTCTACTATATAGCATCTGTACACGTGCATAGCTATGTAAACACAAAGGCATAATTTTTTTTCTGGGCTTGTCCAGATGTTCCATTTCTTACGGCACATCTACGTATAGGCTGTTTACTGCAGAACCATGTAGTTTGAAATTGTATCTTCAGTATCTTAAACCCTTTTCTTCCATTACAAAGAGAGAAAATATCAAGTGTCTAGCCCTTATGGTTGCATACATGGGCTTAAGTGTGTGGGGACAGTATCTGTAGAAAACTCAGAAGCCAAGAAGTTCCCTAGTTTCTTTTATGCCTTCTTCAGTACCCGTTTGTCCACATGTGAATGTGTCTCCTTTCCATTCAGCTTTTAACTTAATGCTCCCTAGGGTTTTTTTTGCTTCAGAAGGTGTTTTCTCTTTTTTATGAATTTATTGATGATGATGATGATGACGACGACGATGATGATTTTGTGAGCAGAGATAGGTGATTTGTATGAAGAAATAACTTTCACAAATAATTATTATGCTTTAAGTATTCAAATGCAAAATATTTATTTATTTCGCAGATTTATATGGCTGCCCACCTCGCTCAGCGGGACTCTGGGCAGCATACAACAACAATTGAAAGAATCATTAAAACACTGAAAACAGTAAACATAATAAAAATAGATAAAAAGCAAGATTGCAGGAGAAAAAGTATAAAACGCCAAATGTTCACAGATACTTTCATCAGTCAGCAAACCATCAACGGGAATTGTAAGGTCTTGTCAATCCACAGATCAAATTACATCATCTATATCCGTGTTTTTCAAACTTGGCAACTTTAAGGTGTGTGGACCTCAACTCCCAGAACTCTCCAGCCAACACGTTGGCTGGGGAGTTCTGGGAGTTGAAGTCCACACACCTTAAAGTTACCGAGTTTGAAAAACACTGACCTGTATGGTGGGTAGTGACTGGAGTAGGGGCTTGCTTAGAAAGAAGAGCCTACTGAAAGAGTTTTCCCCAAACTTGTACACTTCAGAAACATTACAGGAGAATTCCTGTCATCATGTTGGGTAGGGTTTATGAGATTTGTAGTCCAAGCAGTTGGAGGAGCATCAGGTTGGAGAAGGCTGTCCTAGCACTTCAACAGAAGAATAAGCAATGCTTCTGGCTGCATCAGGGCCACAATTCCACTGCCAGACAACTCAAAGAAAAACAGCTCTGTTATGAAAGAATGTAAACATGCAAAGTTCTTAAAGTTTGGATGGTTAAAAAAAATGCGTCCTGCATCTTTTAAGAAAAATGTAAATGCACTGACATTAAATATCTGCGTGGCTTTTCTCTTTTTGTAATGACAGCTGAGTGTTACATTTTGGTAATCTATAGTCACGCTGCTTTTCTTCTAACTTTGTTGGAAATCTCTTGCCTTCTTTAAAACTCAGTTGCATTCTTGCTGGTTTTATTTGTCTTTTTGACCCCCTTCGGCTGCAAACAATGTAATTTATTATTGATCAGGAGTGGAGAAAAGTTTAGTTGTGGCTGGTAGCAAATTGTTTATCATTTGCTGCCAGTTATGATTAATAAGCAGCAAGAGAATGCTGCAGCGGCTGCTGCAAGTTAAGCTGATTTCCTGATAAACAGGTTTCAGCTTTACAAGACTGCAAATGAAGCCTCCTCTGTCTTCCGAAGCAGAGTGTCAATTATTAAAATACATTAGAAATTCTTAGCTGGAAACTCATCAGGGGCTGCTAGGCCTTGCAAATACCTTAGCTGAGCAAGATGGAAGATGGGAGGCTTAATAGAGCACCATTCGGGTTTAATCTCTCCACTTGTGTCTTCCACTGCAGTGATTAATTTTCTTTTTATCATCAGTGTCTAAGCAGCAGAAGGTTTGTTCCCCCATTCAGTTGTTAATAGGTTTTGCCTTCCTGCACTCTTTTGCTTTTTGTTATTTTGTTCTGTGCCCTAAGTGAGTGGGTGTTTAAAATCTGTGGTTTTTTTTAAATCATTGATTAATTGATTGATTGATTGATTGATTGATTATGTTCGATCAAGTCAGTGTTGATTCTTAGCGACCACATAGATTTTAGCCATGATGATCTGTCCTCAACCTGGTCTTTCAGCTCTTCCAACGGCACACCCATCACCATGTAACTGAGTCCATCCATCTTGCTGCTGGTCATCCTTTTCTTCTCTTTCCTTCTCTTTCCTTCCACCTTTCCCAGCATCAGAGCCTTCTCTAGAGAGCTGGGTCTTTGCATAATATGTCCAAAGTAGGGCAATTTGAGCCTGGTCATTGGTGCCTCGATTGAGAACTCTGGGTTGATTTGTTTGATGATCCATTTGTTTGTTTTCTTGGCTGCCCACACCAAAGTTCAACATTTTTTAGAAATACCACTCTTTAAATGGTAAGATTTATCTGAAACTTGCATCTGGCAACCAACTTTTGGCTTGCACTTTTAAACTCAGGTATTGGCTTCCCCACAAAAATGTGAGTGGAGGCCCTTTCCTGGAAGGCTTGAGGTGGAGTGGAATTACAGTCCCTACGGAGTTTCTAGTGACACACAACCTGCTTTGAACAACTTTAGCGGAAATAGAGAGGAAGAAATATATGTAGGCAGAAGCGGAGTATCTCCCTGAAACTCTTTTCTGGTTCTGACATTTTATTTCTTAGTAGTCTGATTTAAAGGGGCTCCAAACACTGATGATGAAGTGTAAATGTAACTGTACTAAAAATAAAGAAATAGCTAAAAGAGCAACATCCTTTCTGAAATCATAATTAATCAAATTAAATTAGCGGTTAATCTGAAGCTTCATGAACATTTTATCTTATTTTCTCCTGATTCTTGAGAGAACATTTAACCCATTTAGCTCAAAGTCCAAAAGCTTCAACCTTTTATAATCTTCAGACTTTTCATCCACATTATGGATGGATTCTTACCTAGTAGGAGCATCCTAGTTTTCACCTACTACGCTAGGTTGCTTCCTCAGATGTGGTGAGGGAGGATTTCTAAAAAAGACACCTCAAAAATTTAAACAAACAAACAAACAAAGAAACAAAGAAGTTTGAACAGCTGCATAACTTTCCTGAGCCAAAGGCAGATTGATTGGAATAGGGTTGCCACCATGATGTCCTGACTGTGGGCTTCCAGATGGAAGCCGTCCCCTCTGCTGGATTGGACAGGCCTTCAGCGTTATCCAAGAGGGCTCTTCTGTTGTTCAAGGCTGGAATTGGATGCTCTTGCATCTGCCACCATGCCAAGCAAGAAGAAGCCTCAGACGCATGAGCTCCAAATCATGCTCTTGAATTAAGGATTTAATTAATTACCCCTCTCCCCCTTCTCTCCTTCCCCACAATCTACCTTACTAACTCCAGTCTGGTTATTTTAGAATAGTGAAAAATGTAAAAATGGATGTTGCACGTCAAGTAGCCTTCCAGCTGAAAGAAGAACCACATACCTTTACTGCTAATTTCTAAAGCTTCCCCCCACCCCTTCAACTCTTTCACCCACAGGTTGGTCGAAGGAATGCACTACAATATTTATTATGGGCCCATGTCCGTGACTGTTCAACTGCAGATTGCATGTGACAGGGAGACGACTTTTTTTGCCGTTTTCTACCCATGGGGTAATTTTGTGGCTGAGCAGAGGCACAGTTGAGGTCTTCCTGGCTATCATGACTAGCTGCTAGGATTGTCGGGGCTTTTTCAAGTTACGAATTGGATTGCGCAGGATGCTAAGGTGGATCCCCCTCCTCCTTCCATCTTTCATTGCCTTTAAAAAGAAAGCAATATTGATTTGGAGACCTACGGGCTACATTTAAAGAGAAAATCAGATGACAAGCGATCAGTTTAGATTCCTCATGTTTGTGAAATACTTGCCGCTAACGACCGTGATGTCAATAAACTCTCGCTGTCTTTAGAGTGCATTTCATAAAGTTGTCAGCCGCTGCATTGTGACAGGGAAGACACTCCTAGGGAAAATTCTTTCTCCAAAGTGACCGTTTCGCTGTGGCATGTAGTTCTGGCTGTTCGTCTGCAGCGTTTCTGTCAGCTTGTCATGGGCAATCAGATATTATCTTCATGGCTGACATTCAAAAGGCATGTAAGGCATAATGAAAAGTGCTGGGTTTTTCCCCCTTTTTTGCTACCCCTTCCCCCTCTCCCCACCACGGCCTCTGTCGAATACAGATGACACATTCTGAATAGCAGTTTCCATGGCATGCTTTAGTTTCATTACCAGCTTGATGGGTAGGCACTGGAAATAATGCGCATCATAAAAATGGTTAGGGCAAGATTTACGACGGGAAGATCTCTCTGCGTTGTACAATGCGCTTGTCACACTGTGGGGAAAATATGGCATTTGCTACATCTTAACCTACTTTTTTTCTCCCTTTTTCTTTTTGCTGAGTAGCACATCAATAACTGCTCGGGAGAAGAAAAATGATTTTGTGACAGATGCCCTCCTCTCCAGCTTGTTTTAAAGTAGAAACAGGAAGGCCTGTTGAAGGGAACCCACTTGGTCTGTATAAGCTGGGCCTTATTCCCTTGTGAATGGCACAGCCTTCCGTTCACCTTGTCATTAGGCACATCATTGTGCCTTGACAGCACATGAACATGGTTGGCTTAATTGCAGTGGCCGTTGTTACAGTCGTGTGCCAAGAAGCCATGTGCAAATGTGGCTGGGAGGCTATCATTTCCTGACCCACCTCTCTTTTTTTCAGCAGAGTAAAACAATTAAGCAATATAGAATGATGCAATCAGAATTGGTGCTGTTGTGAACAGATTCAGGAGGCTTTTAATAATTTCCCATCTGTTTCAGCTCATGTTCACTTCCTCCCAGGTTGCCATGAGCAGGGAGATTTCTACAGGGCCCCTCTAGGACTGGACCTTGATCTCAGGAGTGGTAAGATTTAGCTAGCCTTACAAGATAACCCAATGCATTTTTAACTCTGTTAGACTGGGTGCCTCTTAGAGCTAGCTGATTGGGTCATTGAACCCTTTTACGGAGTTCCCACAGCA